GACCCAACAAGCATGCTAAGACTAATTGATTTTATTTGAAGTTCTTGCTATGGTCACCAACAGTATTGGAGACAAAAAGCTTCATTTATGAATTATGGGACTAATTTCAATGTGATATAGCCACGGCTAGTACTGCCGGCTCGACCGGTAGTATCTGATATAGCATGTCCTACCCGAATGGTTTTTATGGATATATATTGAAGAATACGCTCGACGAAATGATCGAGAGGGGCCTTGAAACGTCTGACTCGGTTGAATTGGTTGGCTATAGGACGACTAACGCGTCTCCTCATTCCTCTTATGCCCACATTCCTGATCCTAAAATCGACTGGGCTGAATACGACCAAGCACTGTTAGATGGTGGCTTGGTGGAAATCATCAAGAGTCCTTCTCGAGGGAGCTCTCCGCGTCTCGACCTCCTTCCTCGAGGTATTCCCATTAGGCTATTAGATATTCCTGTATATAAAACGAGTCCTGTACCTATACCAATAATTACTCCTCTTGTCGGTCCTCGAGGGGTTGTATCGATAGCTTGTCCTCTGGCAAATTGGCCGTTCTGAACCCTTTTTCTTATGCCTCTGCAACTCAAATCGAGGGCTTCAGACAGTTTAGCGGGCTTCCCTCCGATTGGGAGTTGGTCGCTCCTGGTCCCGACAACGACTTTTCTCGACCTCCTCAGGGTTCTCATAGCTTTTTCATCGACCAAATCGTCTTCGGTCTTCGTTTCCCCATTTAGGACGAGATTTTTGGAGATCAGTAACTTGTATAATATTCCAATAAATCAATTTTCCCCAAACGCTCTCTGCATCATGATAGTTTTTATCGTCGTTTCTCGTATAGTGGTTCGTTTTTTCTCGGTCGAATTTTTACACTATTGCTATAGTTACCGACTCCAAAAAGCCGTTCATTGTTTGGTTCGCCGCTCCGGTGTCACCTTCCTTGACGACCTTTCTTCGAATATCACGGAGTGGAAGTCGAAGTTCGTTTTCATTCGTCCTCCTCCTGGTGTGTATCCTTACGTTAATAATTGGATAACAATGAAAGTGAAGCAAAAGAAGTGACCTCGATCTGAAAATTTCGAGAAGCTCTTAGAGGAGCTCAATAAGCACACTTATAGTGCTCGTCGCATAATAAGAGATCGTGAATTGGTCAATCACGCTCGAATCGTTCCATACGAGGGTCTCCCTCGTCTCGATGACCCTCGTGAGTTAACCCTTTGACGCATTTTTCATATTTTATACGTGCTCAAAACTCTGTTATTTCGATTGCTAATTTGTTTATTTTGGCTTTTTCAGTGAAAGCACTTAAACGCTTCGAGGTGAAAAAGAAGCAGTCGATCGGGCAGCTGGCTGCGGGGTCTGCTCCTCCCCTGCCCGGCAGTTCTGGGTCGATGTCTGCCGCCGCGGCTACCGAGACGGTCGCTGCGAAAAAGTCGAGGG